CAGCGCGGTCAGCAAGCCTCGGTCGTGCCCAGCAGCACTCGAGAGGCACGACCAACGCCAGGGTCGTGCTAGCCGCGCCCGGTCGCACCCGGCGTGCCCAGCACCGCACCCGGGTACCAGCAGGCCCTATGCGGGACCGAGCCTGGTCAGTCCGAGCCAGCACCCGACCTTCCAGTTCAGCCCAAACCGGCGATCTGGCCAGTTAGCGAACTGGCCGGTTCGACCAGCGATTCGAGCCTATATTTTTGGTTCGTAAGTTCCGATCCAGGTTTTATTCCGGACTTTAAGTATTTTTTCGAGCTAAACCAGTCAGTTCAAGAATACCAGTTATAAATCCGAACTTAGTATAATTTTAAGCGAACTCATAGCACAGTCTATTGCATCCGATAAATGAGCATATAGAATCGAGCATATAGCATATAAATCTGAGCATAATACTTAGCATTATTTTGCTTGTATGTTTATGTAGCCTAAAGAGATTCGAGCCTCTGACCGCTACTTCAGTCCAGCACTTGTATTAGATATTTTCTTAGTTACCAAGTGGGGGTCATGTACTGGATTCTACATCATTTATAACATTTGTACCATGACTGAGGTATGTTTGAGATATTAAGTTCTCCCAGGTGAGAGGCCCACGGTGAGCGGGTCGAGGTCTACCTAATCCACCTGGTATCCGGCTGGGGCTTCGGCCTCAGTGTCTAGATGATGTGCACACGAGCGGCAAGTGGCCGAGGGTCGACGGGCCAAAGATTAAGAAAAGATTCAGAAAAGAAAAGAAAAGAAAAAAAGAAAGAAAAGAAAATAAAAGAAAAGAAAGCAAAGAAAAGATAAAGAAAGAGTAAGTTCAGTTCATATATATTGATGTTCATGATATGTTATTATATATGCTGTTTTATTAAGTACTTGTCTTTGCGGAGCATAGTGGTTTTCTCACGCCCCCATTGTGTTTTTCAGGTGACGGAGTCGAGCGGGCCGGTTGAGCAAGTGTGGCAAGTTGTGGTCATGAGTCGAGGACATTTTTACCACCATTTTATGTCCAATTATTCATGAACCAGTTATGTATTAAGTTGTATGATTGTACTCATATTTTTTGCTTCCGCTAAGTTATTAGTGCGAGACAGATGGACTGCATGTATAATTCCTATCGCCGCAGTGGTTTGAATGGGTGCATGCTTTACTTTATGTCCGAAAGATAAAGTTAAGAAAGTTTTCGTAGCATCCCGTAATTAAGAAAGTATTTTCGAAAATAAACTCGCACGATATTTCAAAAATAAAAAGCGAAAAATTAACTCTGATTTTCAAAAGTCAAAGCTAGTCAAGGCGGGGTGTTACAGGAATTTAGTAAATATTGAAGAAATCTTAGGAGCAAGCACGTTGAATGCTGCCTGTTGCAATTATGCAGCATCACAATACTTGCATCTTTCGTCAGCCAGTAATTTAGAGGGAATAATGAAAGAAAAGAGAAACATATGTTTGTTTCAGAAACTTACCAACAGTCAGGCTCAAGCACATTAACAGGCAAGTAAGTGGCAGATGGTGTTGTCTTGTCTCTCAAGTCACTCTTGCACTTTAATGAATCCTTAACTCCATCAAAGCTCTTTCTGTCGAAACGAACCAAGAATTACAACGTCAATCACAATCAGTGGCGGACGGACACTCATTATAGGGGGGCCCATGGTCCCCCCAAACTTTTGTGTTTTTTCACTTACGTATATATCTATTATATTATATTAAGTATATTTATTCATTGTTGTCCCCCCTAACAAACTAATGATTTATTTATTTTGATCACGTGGGCTAAGACAAGTCAAGCTCATTAGAGATACATATAAAAAAAACTCATAAAGCCCAACTCCCTCTTTTATATTATATTATATTATTTATTTATTAATGAAACAAACTATTTAATTAACTTAAAAAATAGCCTCAGCTTGTGTATTCTCCTTTTGAGAGTGTATTCTCCACAAGTGGGAGTTTTTTTAGTTTCGTTGTGTTAGTTTGTGGTATTTGGGCTACCTTGAGTAGACCTTCATTTTTTGACTACTTAGTCGGTTTTGCGTTTAATGAATCTATTGTTTCTAAAAAGAAAAGAAAAAAAAAACTCAAGAGTCCAGCGACTAGCGAGATAACATATGCCTTTTGCCTTTACTAACAGCCAAGGTAAAAAGGGCACAGCAAGCGAAAAGAATAAAAATAATCGCAACAACAAGTTCGACAACAATTCATTTATTCTTCTGAGTACTTTTATCATCCTTTTGTATTTTTGAGTACTTTAATTTATGCTCATGTTCATAATTTATTTTATTATCTTTTTTAGGGATTTAGGGTTTAAAACTGGCACTCAATATGTGTATTTATAATTTATTCATCATTCTTAAATGTCTTAATTCGTTCTCTCTAGCTTGGACAATTTGATAAAAAAAATTGTTGAAGAGATGTATCATTTGCTCATAATCTATTACTACCGAGTCAATCATTGATGGGTTTCGTGACTTGAGAGAACGTCGAGCACAATTCTAATGGTCACAAAGTTTGAACGGTATGTATTTTCTTGAACTACTTTTTTTTTTCTTTTTCTATTCTAAAAATGCAACTTTGTCTTTTTAATAAAGTATGTCATTATTGAAAATTATTTCGTCCCCCAAATAATTTTTCTAGATCCGCCCCTGATCACAATAGATACAAATCATATGGTCTAACACTTTTTTATTAAAAAAAAAAGGGCCATCACTTAAATTCCATTCAATCAGAAATTAAGAATAAAAGTGATAAATTCATGTAAACTCCACAAGAAAGTAGTTGCTGTTGAGTCCATTTTGGTGTTGTGAGTATCCTCTGAGACCCTCCGAGCTGCCCTTGGTGATATCCTTTGCAAACGACATTTCTGAAATCACTCGAACGCATGTTCAAGAAATTAAGCCTATTGTTACTAATACTGTTATTGTTCTGCTAAAACCACATGATAAATTAATAAATTGTGTAAATAAAATAGAAATATAAATGAATGAAGAATAAGATGAAGAATATCTCAAAATTTCTTACCAATCCCTGTTGATAGTCTTTATATTTTCTTATGCATTTCTTGGATGCAGAGAAGATTGTGGTGGGGCATAGGGGGTTATTGCCTGAGATTGGGTGCACGCTTGTAAATTCTATAAAGGTATATTGGGTTATTGCTTTCATGGTGTGTTATGCATTTTCATATTCATGGTGATGATACTTGTTATTTGAGCAGGTAAAGCATGAGATGAAGCCTTATCATCTTACAGATGCTATGCTTGTTTGGAGGGCATTTAACGGAGTCGAAGGGAATTGGTATGCTTTAGCTGATGCTTCGAGCACTGGTCCGTGCCGTGGTGTAAACATTGTATGTACCATCCCAATGTTTTTGCCAAATAGTGGTATCAAGAGAGCTAAAGCAAAGAAAAAGAAGAAAAAGGCAACTCGAATTAATCTAGAGAAATCAGGCACTGAACAAACTTTGGAAAATGTTCCTGCGAGGGAAAAAGAGATAGAGAAGAAGGCTCAAAGCTCTCCGGGTGGAGATTTGAAGGAACCAAGGCAATCAAATAAAGAGATGAAAACTCAGAAAGAAGAAAAGAATCTTTTTAAGGACATATATACATGATCACATTAATAATTATATTGGATTATAATTATGGTATTGCAATTAATTAAATAATTGTTTGATTGTTTGCAATTTATTAATTAATTGCTCCCTTGAGTTGATACTGTCATTAACAGAGTGAGATGTTAATTGATAAAGTATAACTCTCAAATCGCCTCAATCGATGATCATTAAGAAAGGGATAATAATGATACGCGAAAGATTGACATGTGGTCTGCATCACATTCTTGGAGAATATAGTATGTCTCACTGCTATGAATAATTGTTATTCATGATGGACACATGAGTACTTTGGAGAGTATTGGTATACCCTACCGATAAACCATTTGTTTATGTGTCTATGGGAGTATCGGTGTGTGGAATGGTGTAATAGTTCTTTGACTTGAGGTTAATACGCAGTTCATGTATAGAGTGATTTACTTAGACCTAGTCCAAAGCTTACGCCCTTATGGGTAGATACGAGCTTGTGTTGGGTTGGTCACGATATACATGGAATTGGTAGTTGAGCCAAGATAGGATTCATCCTCGAATATAGTTTCGAGAGAACACTCGTTTTTTCTATACTGGGTTGATAAAGTCATTGGCCAATGCACGTGATTATATTTGAAATGGTGTTCAAATATAATTGATAAAATCAACCAGTGAGATGAGATAAAATGATTAAGCTGTTTGGATAGACACACATTCAAGTCCTAAGCTTAATCGAGTGGTTCGTGAATGAAGGGACCGTATCACTATTGAATTCTACACCAAAGGTTTGTTTGCTTTGTCTATGTAAACGTACTTCATATTTTGAGTTCGTCCTTCGACGCAGTCTAGGAGTTTCGTAAGGATCATAAATTAGATTTATGTCAATATATGAAGGCCTATAGGGTCACACAATATGCAATCTATTTTCCGACTAAGAGTGAATTGAGAGTGTTAAATATTCAATTGGATTGGAATATTTATTTTTGAGTAATGAGATTATTTTCTATTTGATAGAAAATATTTAATTAAGTTAAATTGGACTTACACTTAATTAAATCATTAATTAATTGGATTGGGTCCAATTACCTATTGGGCTAAGTTATCCTAAAGCCCATATAATTAGGTTTATCCTAATTATAAATAGGTGGTTATCTCTTCATTAGATGGGTAACGATCATTAGATGAGAAAAAAAAGATATGCCATAAAATACAAAACACTCTCTGGCTTTCTGATTGAGGATTCCTAGTGTCTTCACCAGAAAGGATTCATTGCGTTGGATCGTGCACCGGGATCTGGATTGCGTGGATACCATAGTTGAAGACAAAGCTTAAATTGTAAGTTTTCGTGTATTATTCACGTGATCTAGGATCATATCGAATAGCTATAGCCGGATCTTCGTTGTTGGTAAGAAAATTTTAAAATTCCGCTGCGCGTGCGATTGATTCGTACGACAAAAATCCAACAGTGGTATCAGAGAATCGGGTCGGTGTTCATAGCTATTTGAGTTTAAGTTGAATTTACATGGATCACATATGTGTTAATCATTATTAATTTGGAATTAATTTTGTAATAGCCCATTTTTACCTAATGTAAATTACGTACTTAGTTCGTAATGTTCATATCATTCTTGGGATCATTAAATATTCAAAGTATAAGTCAATTTATGTTCAATCGCTCGATAAAAATATTATCGAATCAAATTGTACTTAATCGAGCAAAAATGTGTTAATCTCGCGCTAATCGTGCATGATCGTGAGCATAATTGTACTTAATGATTCCTTAAGTACATTAATTATGTTCATTTAAGGTTAAGCGTACATGTTCTTAAACATTAGTCATTGCTCGACTAGGGAGCATAATTTCTTCCTAAACACCTTAACCTAGGTTAATCGCGCATAATCAAGCCCTAAGCGTGCTTAACTACTTAATGATTGCAAGTGGATGGAACTTTGGGGCAAAATCACGTGAATATATATCATCCCTAGCCAAATGGCCTCTTTGTGCCAACTAAGTGATGACTAAGCCAAGGAAAGTCCACCTCGTGGCCCTAGGACGCGGCAAATGGCACGAGCTCATTGGCCGTGAGCTTTTATCTCATTTTGCTCAATTTTCACGCCTATAAATCAAAGTGTTGGGACATAATTTCAGCATATTACCTAAGTTATTTCCTAAGCAAGCCTTAAGCAAACAATAAACAAGATTAAGATATTTTAATCCAAACTCACCGTACGCGCACGAAGAAGAGAAAGGGTCCGAACCAACACCAATTTCTTGCCAACTTTCTTCGGGCAACCAAATGGTAATATGATTCTCACCCTGTTATGATGATGTATATATCATACCAAGTTCAAATTATAGGTATAAGTTCATGAAATAATCGAAAATGCTCTCGGGTGTGCATATTAGGGCCATATTAACTCATCTCTTTATGTAGACGACTTCTCTCGAGCAAACCATGCATCATTAGTCCTTATTTAATGTATTATGTTCAGTTTTAAAAGATAGCCCGAGATAAGTATTCATTTGGTTGATGAAATGGCCAAGGGAAGTGGACCGTGCACGTAGCACGCGCCCATGGGCCGTGTCTTGCCCTACTAGGGTATCTTTCATTGTGATCAACTTTGATAGGGACATTTATGTTCCAACAGCCTTTAAATGATAAATTATGGTCCAGTAACTCATGTTGCTCGAGAACAATTCATGTTTGGTCGAGGGTACACGTTCAGGGCCGTCGGACGCGCCTATCGCGCACGCCGTGGCCAATCACATCAATTTTCATGTTCTTATCATGACCCTCAGACTCATGTACATATAATTATGTTAATCATGTCAAAGGATGTCATTTTGATCAAGGTAAGTAGCCGCAAGGCCGGCAAGGGCCGGTCACGGACATGCGCCGCACCTAGCGGCCATGCTGTCCCAGGGTCATGTATGCGCGACCCCGCGCCAGTCGCCTGTGCCACGCACGGTGACCTCGGGTCGTGCCAACAGCGCACCCGAGTGTGTCATACCATGCCTCAGTGAACCCGGGTAGGGTTCAGGGGCCTCGGGACGTGCCCAGCCGCACGCCCGAGCAGTCAGTTGGCCCGGGACGTGCCCAACAGCACGCCCGCGTGCCCAGGGTTGCCCGGCAGCGCCCTGACAAGCCTCAGTCGCACCCGAGACGCGCGAGAAAGGTCTGGTCGCGTCAGCCCTCGCGCCAGCCGCACCTGGGTCGTGCCAGCCGCACGCCCAGTGCCCAGTCAGCCCGGGTACATGTCTATTCCGTGTCCCTCGCGCTCGGCCAGTGCCAGGGCCAGTGCCAGCCGCACTGCCCGCGCCAGCAGCGCCTAGTGCCGAGGCCCGGTCACACCTAGCCCGTGTCCAGTGCCGTGCCATGGCTCCAGCAGGCCCGGCACGGGACCGAGCCCAGCCAGCCCATGACCACCCGGTCCAGTGTGAACCGGGTCCAACCCAGTCCGATCCAGGCCGACCCGGTTTATTCAGTTAGCGAACCGACCAGTTTAGCCGGCGGTTCGAGTCTGTTTTGGTTCGTAATTTTCAGTCCGAATCTCATTCTGAAATTTAAATTATTTTCCGAGCCGAACCAGATCAATTAAGCATATCAGTGTAATTTCCGGACTTAAAAATATTTTGTGAACCCTTAATGTTTTCCGTTATATCGGATATCATATTAAGTCGAGTCGAGCATCTTAACAGTTCAATTTATTAATCTGAGCATAGTACTTAGTAAATGTTTATATTATGTTACAGTTTGATCAGTTCACGACTATCAGCACTTCCAGTTTCATATCTTCAGTACAGGTGGGGACTCAGACTGGGTATTACATTGATTATAATTACGATATCATGTTCAAGGTATGTCAAATTATGTTTTCCGCTTGGAATGGATGTTGGCCGGTTCAGGTTGCCATAATTCCGTTCTAAGTTCTAGTGGCGTCATCTACCACTAGTGTGTGCACATGGATTCCGACAGTCATTGTTATCATCATTATCATTATTATCATGGCAGCCGGTAGATTCACGGATCCCGGTCCGGTTTATACTGTTGACCAGAAAATTCACGGTTATGTTATATGCTTTTGATCATGATGTACTATTATTATTGCTGTTTACTTTCGTATGAGTTCCTACGGAGTACAGTGGTACTCAAACCCCATTTTTATCAAATTTTTCAGGTCATGATGTCGGTCCGGAGCTGTGAAGTTGACGGGTGGATCAAAGTTAAATATTTTGTTGTCTTGTTTTGCCACGCTATGTTCCGCTGAATTTCACTGTTTGACAAACTTGACTTTTGATCCGATTTCATAGTCGGATTGTATATTATGATAATCCGTTTTGCTTGTAAATTTTAAACGATCGTAATGGATTTCTAAAGATAAAATAAATCTTTTAGTAACGCTCCGAATCATTTTCTTAAACTATTTTTAAAAAGATGTCTTTAAAACGTACTCTGATAATTAAGTTAGAGCGGGGCGCTACAAGGTGGTATCAGAGCACGTTTCTGCATCTCTGATTGGTTTTAAAAGTCAATTTTTTTTTCAAATATTCGATCACGTCAAGTTTACACTCCGCCGACTACCGGGTAAGTGCTGATACATGTTTTAAATTATAAACAATTTACTATGCCTATGCTCAGTTATGTTATGGAAATCACTGTTATGGACTAGTTAAGGTGCTCGAATCATGTTCAGGGTTTATAGCCTAAAGTATTCATGATAGAATTGATAACTCGTCAAGAAATTTGTATGTTCCATAAATCAGTCAATGTATCTTATTCTTATACTTAATCATGTCAAACTCTTTCAATATTCAGATGTCGTCTCATAGAAGTTCGACTCATCGTGAACCTTCACAGTCCGAGGTAGTCGCACAGTTTCGCGACTATCATCCGGAGAAGTTTTCCGGTCAGAGAGATCCCCGCATTGTCGACGAATGGG